CAGCCTTCCTGGACCCTTTTGTCCTTCAGGAAGCGTCAGCTTCCAGGTGAGGGTGAGGATGTCAGCTCTAAGAGGCAGGATCACATTCTCCTCTTCCCAGAAAATGCCCACTAATTCTGGAACTGTGTGGGGTGGGTTTTGGATAGCACGAGTCTGCAATGTCTTGTGTTTCATTCAGTGACCTTGCTCGTCACACCACAAGCAAGAGCTAAATTCACACACTCTAAGACTGTGTTCTGCTTTTGGTTTTATTAACTAGTTAAAGAGGCATTAAACTGATTAGCACTCATCAGGTCTGCCTGTTCTGCTTTCACCTGATCTTCCAGTGTCACTTTTCTAACCAAGAAGAAGAAGCTGGGCTCCCAGCACTGAAGATAAAGTATTGAAAAATGTCTATGCAGAGCAAGACAATCTGGTCCAGACAGGTCTAATCAGAGCAAGGAGAGGGCTTCTATGTGCTGCCTCTGCTCAGGTATCAGTGGTTAAATGAACTAGAAGTCCTGCTAGGGAAGAATTACTCACTTCATAGCTATTTCACAAAAATGCCATGTTCTACTGTCACTATTATGCTAAGGATAGATAATTTTTAAGCCCAGTGTCCTCTTCTAATGTTCTGTTGATTTGTAGAGTGCACTGTAGACCCTGAGAGTGTCAAAGCTGCAGTGCTGCAGGATGGGAAACTGGTCTCTGAAATTCACCCCCAGATTACATCTATTTGACAGAAACAGAACTTGGTCCTTCACCGCTACCGATAAGCCTTGCTTGCAACATGTTTTTCAGAAGAGCTGCCATATAGAAACACTGACATTTGGCAAGAGAAAGCTTCATCCAGAATTATGATCTCATTTGCATATGTCTGTACCTGACTTGAGATACTCAGAGCTTGTTGAGTAAATATGAACAAAGCATGATTCAACATATCCATATATAATATGTCTGTTAATAACCAACATCTGTGACTTTCACAAGTGAGTCACTACAGTAGATCACAAAGAGTTGGCAAAAAGGGAATGCAAAAATGCTAAACTGCATGAAATAACACAGCTAAATAACAAAAAACAGCCTTACCACAGAGCAAGTCTCTGCTCAATCTCCTTGAGAAAACCAGTGTGAAATTTGTGCAAAGGTTCGAAGTTGGAGAAAATGAGATTTTTCAGTGTTTCGGGCATGCAATCCTCTTTACTCACTGCACTCTGAAACCACTATAAAGGAAAAAGAAGCAGAATTATCAGGCGGTGGAATGCAGCAGGTATGATCATTTGCTGTCTTTATACACCCAACCCAGTAAGCACCTTATTTAGCTGGCTCTAGGAATACAACTCAAGCTACCCCTGACACTCCTACACGCTGAACTGGTGCTTTTATCAGTGGTCAGGCCCCGCATGGTTAAAAAAGAAACTCCTTTCCCTTTGGCCATCACTGATCTAATCTTGAAAATTCTTTTCAAGCCCGAACTGGTTGGTCAACACAAACTATTTGCAAACACTGCAGGTGCAAAAGAAGGAGTATTGCAATACTCGCAACACTTGCAAACGTTCTAGTAAAAACAAAAAACATGCTCTGCATTTTCTTTTGCTGAGTTCTGTCTGAAATTTCTTTGACAGGAGTTGGTACAGTAAGCACTGAAGCCCACGTTGCTTCGCGTGTGGATAGAGAACATTCTGCACTTTGCAAAGTGAACAAGTAGAAGGATGGTGCTTTGCACTTCCAGGATGCAACTAACAGAAAACAGGAGGGTCAGTGCCAAACACTGTTAAGACTGCAACAGGCTCCTGCTCAGTTTTGCTCTGTATTCTTTTTAGTTCTCTCTAGTAGACACAGGGGTGATGTAAAGCCATAGGACTTGGGGGTTTGCCAAGGTGGCACAGACTATTATCTTCACTCCCTCCTCGCTGCCCTGAGGGGTTCCAGCTATCTATGGTTGACTTCCAGCAGTGCCTAGAAGGCTGTTGGGACCATAGAAGGCTGCTACAGCAGTCTTGATTGACACAGCATCAGCTGGAGCTGACCCAGACCTGAGATAAAGAGAGACCCCTCCCAAGACTCCCTCTCCCCTGCTTTATCTCTGCACTGAGCAGAGCTAAGGTTGAAGAACTGCACACCTACCAAGTTTCAAAATTCATGCATGACAATCATTCCTTCTACCTTTTCCAATGACACTGGCTACTTGTTCACTCTCAGTGGCCTCCTGGGCCAGTCACCTATAGGGCACAGCTGTCGGGCCTGATGATTATTGTAGAGCCAACTGTATGCCTCTTGGTGACACAGCGAATTCAAATTTGCCTACCACAAGAATAAAGGCCAGTGTGGGAAATGGGGTTTAGCTATGAAGAGCTAAAACTTTTATGTTTCTGCAACCACTGCGTGAACCAGAAGGTGAAAACAGCATATCTGCTGTTGAGACTGCAGCGATGACCACCGTCCCACAAAACCTGGGTTCTTCCCTCATTGGCCCGGCTTCCCCAGAGAGCCAGGGTAGGCAGGCAGTGGAGCCACAGCTATCTTGCTGCCTGTAACAACCATGCTGCGCCAGCCTACATTGGCTATGTCTAAACTGGCGTCAGATCAACTGCCTCTGCCATCTGGGCTCCTGGAACGGATGAAAAGCTGGGGAGAAGGTGTCTCGCCCTGGTTCCCAGCTAGTACCAACAGACTCTTCCCTGCAGCATCTCCTCCTTACTGTAACAACCAATGCAGGAGGTCGCAAGGCACCTCACAGTTTCATACACTGGGTGATTAAAGAGATGGGAGGTCTGGAGCTGGCAGTGCTGCTGAAATACCATGAGAGGTTTTGGATCCAGTGCCCTTTTACAGGCAATTGTTTTTTAAGGCCAGATCTTGTGCACATTACTCTTGGAAGTTAAATAAGACTCTTGGTGTACGTGCAAAGGCGGCACATATTTGCCTCGATTTGAACAATCACACTCTGATCAGATACTACAAATTAATAACTCATTTAACAGACAGTTTCACTTACTGAAAAATCAAAACCATTCAGATAGGTACTCCACAATATTTCATGTTAAATGGAGGGCATTTAATCCAGGAGAAAACATTTACATGTCCCCTTAGGGAGCTACTTCATTTTTAAGAGAAGTCATTGAAAACCCACAGGCATTTTTAGTAATTACAACCACTAAGTATGAAAGCAAGAAAAAAATAACTGAACTGTGTCCCAAGTTCCTCAACCTGATATGGTTTTGTAGTGCATGTTACTAACCACAGTGCAAATCTCTACTTTCTACTTTTTGTGTTATTTCCTCCCTAGAGCTGTACTCCTGTGCACTGCAGAGAATACCTACAGTGCAGAATATAAAAGCATGGAACAGCTAAGATGTTAAATGGAGTAGATGAAATACTGTTGCTGACTAGAGCTTCACATGTTTCATGAATAATGCTCAAGTAAGCATACCGATGTGATGACTTCAAGGTCCTTCAGGTATGTTCGTTCTGTGGTCGCTACTTCTTTAGCAATGAAGTAAGCTTTCTCAGTTGGGAATCTCTGCGAATTGCAAACACATTAGGTTTTCATCTGCTTTTATGGAGCTGCTTTCTGTAGGAAAAAACTGCAGACAACAATCACCCGGAGAGTTACAAACTAGCGACCCTTGCTTGTGGTTACTCTGACTCATGCTTGAATGTTCCTAAGCCACGAAGCTCCTATAACAATCCTTCCTTGCAAACAGGAGAGAACAAGCACCTTCTATAGGTTCTTGAGAGGTTTTTTTTTCCGCCAAGGTGATTTCTACAGTTTTGGGGCACTGATGTTCCTTTCAGCTTATTCCACACATCTGAAGTTCACAAAGAAATCCTTTGCAGGCTAGATAATCATTTGACAAAATGACAAAAATTATTATTTTTATCTGATTATTATAAGCTTCATGGTCAGGGTAAGAATCCACAGAAAAAATACTCTCAAAAAAAAAAAAAAAAAAAAATCAGATCTGTAAGATTTTCCTAGTGTGGCTGGACAACCTAACAGTAGGAGAGGGGAAGGGTTTTAAGGTAAACTACAGATTTCAAATTTCAGGAAAAAAACACCAAATCCTCCTGTGTTATTCCAGAGGCAAAAGTGGTTTTGCCCTCCTAACACTGAGGAGTCAAAGGATCCTAAATTGCTCTGTGTTGCTCAGGAAGCAAAAAGGAAGAGCAAAACATCCATACATCTTCTGCTGCTACATTTCCTCCCTGAAGATCAGGGATCCAGAGGATGGACTAGAAAGGGATGCAAGGGGTGACTGTATAGGCATTTCCTGGTCAGTATAAAACCCCACAGGAACCAACATCAGCTGGTATAAGCTACAACAGTCACTGGCTGCTGTAACTTGGACTGACACAGAGAATCGTGAGTCTATTAACCAATTCCTGGCTTTTCTTCTTCTCAAATTTCTCTCACATATCTTGCTACCTGTGCATAGTAGGAAAAGAGATCTTCCTTACACAGGCTCCCACTTTCCAGCAAAGCCATCTGGGTTCCTGCCTTCTTCCTCCAGAGATGCTCCACGCTCAGGAGAAAAAGCAGGCAACAGAAGGACCAGAGCAACCCCCTCTCACCCTGAGCACAGGAGGGATGAGCCAGCAGGCACCCAGAAGACGCTGGCTCAGACAGAATCTATCTTTGAAAAGCAGTTTTGGATGTGATGCTCCCTTATGGCTTTGCTGCAGCGATAGGGCTGAGCCAAACACTCCCAGCTGAATCCTGCAGGCTGTGGCTCAAAGGGAGCATTTTCTACTCCCACAACCAAATGCTCCCCAGTGGTGCTCCCAACAGAGACAGACTGGAGAGCCTGGGTTGGACACTCCTGCACGGGCTCAATGCCATTCCTCTTCCTTCTGTCACCTGGAAATTTTCCCTCCAATAATACAATGGACTTGATTGTTTTGTTACAACAAAGTACCAAACTCCACTCCTTAAAAACAAGCTAGATTTATGGCAGACCCTGTCAAAACAAGCTCTTAAGGTTGCAACCAACAGGACTGGCCCAGATTTATCCTACATTAACCTTAGGGACAGAGCTACCTATCTTCTCTCTGCTGCTTAAAGAGGAGCTGGGGCCCCTAACTCCTGCACTTCTGTTCAGAGGATTAATCCAGGGCACTGAGCCCTCAGCTACAGCAGTTCTGTGGTTCTGGCCTGACCCAATCCAAACTGTGAGCTTGGCCTCAGGAGCACAGGGATGCTCTTGGACACACCATGACCAAGGACAGCAGACACCAAGTGACCCAAGTCAAGCTATCTGTGTAGATCTATGATGAAGCCCCGGGGGGTCTAGATATTAGTCACTTTGACAAACAGCAATAGTTGCAACACAACACACAGAAGAGAGCCAAGGCCAACTGCCTCTGCCTTACCTTTCTTTTAACCTCTTCCTCATCATCAGTCCTGATGCATGATGGGTCATTCAGCAAAGGGCTGATCAAGGGAGAGGACTGCTTGGCATCAGGGCTCAAGTTTGGAGATAAAGACATATTTGCCACCGATGGTCCTCCTTGGGAATTGATGGAAAGCTCTGAAAGGTGAGGGCTGCCAGTCAGAGAACCTGCTAAAAAAATGGTGAAAGAGACAAGTTAGGACAAGCTGTCTAGAAAAGTACCAAAAAGAGTTACAACCTTAAGTTGCAGCATGTGAAATTACACTACAAGACACAGCCATCAGGGTCCTCAAACTAGTCCAAGTGGACTTGAAGACAGAGGAATTGCATCCACTTGCATTAACCAAGGGACGTGAGCATTCTTTTAGCTGATGAAACTGGCTGAAATTAGTGTCTCTGTAGGGAAGGCATCAAGGCATATACAGCTGAGCTGAAATATTTACTGCTAAACATCAAATTAATACCAAATTTTCACCATTGTAATCCACTCTATGAAAGAGAATAAATACAACAACAAGGGAGTCACCCTAGGAGTGCCATTCTTTCTACCAAAGTAGAACTTCAAAGACTCAAATCAGTACTTTATGGGGAGCTACAGGACACAAGTTAGAATAAATGTATCTAGTGGAAGTCTAGAGAAAAAGAAACGATGACTTTCTACAGCAGTGTTGCTGCTAAGACCAGTCAGATCTAACATAAAGGGAGAAAACTACTAGTTCCCCAATTTCTACACACAACACAAGTATGTATATTATACCTTGTAGGTCTTTCCATGCTCCTCTGATTGTTTGGGATGGAAATGCTAGCATTACATTTACATAAGAAAAGCAATACTTTTAATGCACAAAGCATGACAACTTTAGATTATCACAGATAAAGAGTCCCATTTAATTTTGGATTAAAAATATTAAAAAATTAGACAATTAATTACACTTCCATGGATTCATATACACTACATTAAATATTACTGAAATTAGCATTTTGTCTTCTGGGAGGCAGCCA